AGACGCGGCTTCGTGGGAACTCGGCTCCTGGCGAGGAACGCAGATTTTGCCCTGTCCGCGCGATTTGGCAGATCAGATGTCTCTTGGTTTTGCTTTTGAATACATGGGGTATCTTTGGTTTGCTGTGTATCGCCTAGACAGTTACAGATGTTGTGGCCTCGTATAGTGTGAATGCCTAGGACCGCAACTTTGGCTGACAAGGAGGCCTGCCGGATGTTGACCAATGTTCCCGTCAAGGACTACAAGAACTGTCCAGTTGTTGCGACCTCGTTGAGTGCTCTCATGGGCGTCATCGTCCCCGGAGCGTTGAGGAAAGTGGAGACTGTGTTCGAAGTCGTTGGCCTACAGGTCATGGGGATCACGTCGGTGCGTTCCGAAACCGATGAATGGATTCTGGACAGCTGCAGTACTTGCAATCGCGCGGCTCCATGTCAGGCCTGGTTGGAGAATGGTGTGTATATTTCTTTTTCTTCTTGACGGTTTCGATTGGTCCATGTTTATAACCTTTCTTTATAATCTTCCACAACTATGTCAAACTGGTTCCGAAGCGATGCAGGCGCACGCCACTGCGCCAACGGAGCGTCGACTTGCTCTGCGACCCACGGTGGCAGACTCGAATGCACAGTGCAGCCTGATGATCTATCATGAAGGTATTTTGGCTGTTGCCAAGCTGCTGAACGTTGAGCTGACCACATCGTTGCAGGACACGCGGACTTTGAGAACGCAGCTTCGTGATATGTTTCGAAGTGCTCAATGGACTTGTCGTTTCACATTCCGTGGAAATGAATACCAAGAAGTGCTGGAACTTGATCTTCGGCATCTGGAACCTTGTTTGGTCACAACACGTGAAGCAGTTGCCGCAACCTCACCGGAGCTGTTGCAACGCCCAGTGACACATCATCATATGCACGCAGGCTGTCCGGTGGTCTCCCTTCGTGATGTGACAGAAGACAAAGACCTGGGAATGTTTACCTTTGGGCATATCGATTGCACCGCAATGCGGGCTTTGGTTGCCTTCAACGAGGTCGACTTGGCAGATGATGAAGCTTTGCAGCAGGACCCAAACACGACCTCGGCCATTCGTGTCAAGAGGTCTGTGGATTGCCTGTTGTCGCAGCGCGCTTCGGACATGCCTTTTCGGGCCAAGCTGCGTTGCGCTGGCCCTTCTTCGGCCGTGAGCTGGATGCTCCGAGGATCCGCAGGTCAAGTCTTCCAAGTTGTCCTTGGCCAGACCGACAGTTTTGGAGAATACTCGGTTTTGTGGCATGCGCCGGTCGTGCAAGAACGAGTTCCTGAAGTGACAGCTTTCTGGGAATTTCTCAGCGCCACTGAATCCAAAGATGCAGGCTTTCAGTTTGACAAGGATTGGGAGACGCCGTTGAAGCGCCTACGAGGTCTGCGTGACGGGATGCCCGAGCAGGAACGTCACAGCGATGCCTGGCACAGCGGCGATGTGCCGATGGAATCCGTACTGGCACCGTGATAAGACATGTGCTGATCAGACTTGTTGCTGGTTGAGCCACTGATCGTCTGTGATCTATGATCGCGGGCGACTGTGTCATGTCATCAAACTTTTGCATACTTGGATCGCTTCAGCACAGCCACTTTGGTTTGGCGAGTCGACGTGACGAGCATCTCATCAAACTTTTGCATACTTGGATCGCTTTAGCGCAGCCGCTCTGGTTTGGCGAGTCGACGTGACGAGCTTGACAGACTATGGCGATACGCTGCTGCGAGAAGATCAAAAAGCGCAGTGTAAATGCTGCGGCGAGGGCGTTTGTGAAGCCCGTCTCTGCGCTTCTGCCATTGTGATTTACGTGCCCAGTGTTGTCACCGGCTCGAAACACGTAACCCGTGCAACATGGAGCCATACCACGATGCGATGTCTGCTGCCTGCGCTGCTTTGCAACGGATGATTGAGAGCAGTTTGGACATGCCGATCGAGGATCAGCCAACACTCGACCGGCTTTTGGCAGCGCACCAGTATCACTTCGGTGATATTTCAGATTGGCCAAATGACATCTGTGAAATACTTCCTGGGGAGATGATGTCTTTGGAACCGCCTGAGATCTACTTTCTCGGGAGCTCGGCTGCCTGTCGCCATCTCCGGACCCACCAGGAAACTGTCCTACTTTCCTATCGCAAGGTGTCGGTTGTCTTGAGCTTTTGTCCGCGGGAGATGAAACGTATTCGTGGGCAGCCAAAGGTGGGCTGGCAAGCGTGGTTTGAAGACCTCCAGATTCGGTGGTTTACGTTCGACGTGGACGGTCCCAGAACATACTTGGATGACACCAATACTTTTTGTCAAGAAGTGGGAAATGCCTGGTTGTCATCGTGGATGGACATGTGCTGCGCTCTTCTGAAGCACTTGAAGGCAACGACTCAGCGAGAAGAACGAGGCATCATCTTTCATTGCTTCGGCGGGGTCAACCGCATCTCAGCGGCATTGTGCGCGTGGTTGATCTTTCGTCGTCAGCTCTCCGCGGAAGCGGCTGTGCAGAGCTTGTTGACGGCCCGTCCCACGCTTCACCCCTGGAAGCATCGGCCGCATGTCTTCTGGGCATTGCGTACTTGGGAGAAGAACCTAAATTCCTTTGTAAGACCTCGCATTTTTGCTGCAGTTCAAGAACTGTGAGCTAGCATGCCGGCGAGTCGACGTGACGAGCTGGACAGACTGTGACGATACACTGCTGCGAAAAGAGTCGAAAACAACGCTGCCTTGCGTTGCATAACGACTGACGGAGTTCGTTTCTCAAAAGAATTGACACTGACCAAGTTCGTTTCTGACATCGACACTTCTGATGTTTTGTGCTAGCCTCCGCCTTCAGTGTTGCAAATATATACTCACTGTTCGTGCGAGTTGACCGGAGCTCAGGTCCTGCCTGGAGCTCACTCTACATCTCTGTGTGAGAGAAAAAAAGCGTGTCTCACCTCTTCTTGCTTTACATCCTGCTAACACTGCCCGCCGTGGTCGGGATAAGACCACTTGATAGCTTTGATGGTCGTTTCGAGTGTGTTACGTTTTGAAGGTCGCATGCGGATCTGATGGCAAAATCCACGGCCTCCAAACATCTCTCTCCGCCTCCTTTTCTCTCTCTCTCTCCCTCTCTCTCTCTCTCTCGTCCCTCTCGTCCCTCTCATCCTTGTTCATCACATCATCAGACACTTTATCACACACCCACACACACGCACGCCATCTCATGCGTACTGATGTGATAGCGGTGCCACACGCCAGCCTAAGAACCCAAATCCTGAAAAGTCCAGGAAAGTCCTAAAGAACCTGGGGGTTTGTAAAAAGAAGTAAGGCCAAAAGCTCAAGGTCGAAGACGGCGAGC